GGTAGCATACGCACAGTAATGTAAAGAAAGTGGGGTAGAATGGTAAAATACGGGAGAATTTCGGCAAAAACGGGAGGGTTTACGTGAGTGCAGTGAACAGGAAGTGTTAAACATCTTTGCGAGATAATGCAAAACATCTTTGCGAGGGAACGCAAAACATCTTTGCGAGGGAACGCAAAACATCTTTGCGAGAGAATGCAAAACATCTTTGCGAGATAACGCAAAACATCTTTGCGAGGGAATGCAAAACATCTTTAAGTGGGAACGCAAAACATCTTTGCGAGATAACGCAAAACATCTTTGCGAGATAACGCAAAACATCTTTGCGAGGGAACGCAAAACATCTTTGCGAGGGAACGCAAAACATCTTTGCGAGATAACGCAAAACATCTTTGCGAGGGAACGCAAAAACTTAGAAATATATATTTTCCTCCCACCCATTTTTTTCTTTCACCCATTATTTTGTTTTTCACCCAGCCAATTTTTTTCTCCTCCACTACGTCCCTTCCGGGGTTCCGTAAAAAACTGATGCTACCAAACTCTCCTCACTTGATTATTCAAGGTAATGTTGATGTCTTCCTCATTTTGATTAGATTTTGAAATGTCAAGTTGTTCACAGATTTGTTGTGAGGAGTTTCATGTACAACCTCTTTTTCTTCTTCCATTAGCAACGCAGTGGCAGTGCTGTCACCTCACAGCAAGAAGGTTGCTGGTTCGAGCCTCGGCTGGGTCAGTTGGCTGAATACAATGGCATAATGATTCTGCTTGCTCACAGGAGGTACTTGATTTAGTTTTCCTCAAGCGATACATCAGTTTTTATGAGTAATGCGTGACACTTGAATTGAAGGGACAGTTCACCCAAAAATGAAAATAATGGCATCTTTGGCATCCTCCACTTGTTTCAAAATAGTTAGTTTTTTTTTGGTTCCATTGAACACAAACTCATATTTTTTTTAAAGATATTTGGTTCAAATATGGATGTCAATAGTTTCTAACATTCTTCAAAATATCTGCTTTAGTGTTCAACAGAAATTTAAATGGATTTAAAACACATGGAGTAATGGTGGCAGAAAAGTAAACTATCCTTTTAAATATTTTATTCTGAGACTTATTTATATGTGTCTTGTCTTTTGCCATATTGTCTTTCTAGCTCAGATTGTGATGGACCTGGAATGCGACACCAGTTACTTTTAAGTCAAGAACCAAATAAAGCACAGATGTGGAGGGATCTGCATCTAAACTAATTGGAGGAAATGAACCTTTAGGTATAAACACCTGCTTTATTTAGATCTGAAGTATTTTATTTGGCATAGAGTATTATTTTTTATTCTTATTCTAATTTTATTTTATGTATATACTTGGGATGTAACGGTATTGTAAATACCGTCATACCGCAATATTAATTTTTTTCGATATTACCGTAGTCGCATGACTCGGTAAAACTATAGGTCTTCTGAGAAAATTTGCTCAGGCGAATGAAGCGAACGGGAGGTAGCAAAAACTACAATTCCCATCAGCCCATGCTTGACCATCATCCCTTGCGGTCTGTTGTCGCTACAGATCCAGTAATGCGGAAATGGAGTGTGCTGCTAGAAGCGGGGATGAAAAAGAGCTGGAAAACTCTAAAGCAGGTGTTGTCGCCGCGCGCGTACTGAATAGCGGTGTTGTCGCGCGCATACTGAATAGCGGTGTTGTCGCGCGCGTACTGAATAGCGGTGTTGTCAGCACACTGTTCAGATTGATGCAGACATGAGACCTCTATCTCACTCATGGTTTGTCCTCTTAAGTGGGGGAAAGACAATGCACAACGTTACCCACTGCTGTCAACCTGGGCCAAGTCATATCTCTCTTGTCCCAGAAACCTCAGTGCCAAATGAGAGAGTTTTTTCTGTTGCAGGGGACATTGTAAATACCCAGAGATACCAGCTTTTACCAGATTATATTTATATGATAATTTTCCTTTAAACCCATCTCTATCTAAGTGAGTGAGTGATTAAATGTTGAATGTGATAAGTTTTCAACAATACTAAATTGAAACTTTATTTTTTTACATGGTTTAATATTTTTTTGTTATTAAAATTGAAGTTCCTGTTTCAAAGCTTACAGATAGATGGCTAATTTGTATGTCATTGACACTTTTGGCACTTTTTTGGAGTATTTTCATAAGTTTTGTTTTTTCCTGTAAATGATTCAATAAACACCGTACCGTGACATTCATACCGAGGTATTACCGAACCGTGAAATTCTGATACCATTACATCCCTAGTATATACTGAATAGAAGTCATTTAAATTTCACAAATGATTGAATATAAAATATCATCTAGATGTCTTATTTTTCATTGTCTTAAACAGGGGTGCTCAACCCTGTTCCTGGACATCGACCTTTCTGCAGAGTTTAGCTCCCACCCTGATCAAATGCAACTAAACAAACTAAATAGTATCTGAAGGAGTACTTGGTAATTAAAGACAGGTGTGTTTGATCAAGGTTGCAGGTGAGCTCTGCAGAAAGGTAGATCTCCAGGAACAGGGTTGAGCACCCCTGATCTAAATGCTCAAAAATGCTGTTTCCGAGGCGAGGTTGGATGTAGTTCAGAAATAGATTCATTAGGATCAATGCTTAAAGTAAATGTTTACTTCTCTCTGTAGACCAAACATGCTTAGTATCCCACACATTTTAATAAATTATTTATTTTGGTTACTTTTACATATATATATGGGTAAGCAAGTATTTAATAAATAAAATTATTTTAAACCACTTGATTTAACCAAATGACTCTATTACCCTAGCTGCTGGGAAAAAAACATGTAAAATAACAGATTTTTTATTTTTTTTTTACAGTGTGAGTGAACATACTACCTTGATGTCCAACAAAGACTGCACAAGAGCTCATTTGATGGCACATATTCTGTCCTGTCTATCTCTGACGAAATGCTTCGACATCAGTGAGTAATAAATCTTCATATTATCATGCATTCAGGATTTATGTAAGCCTATCTTTAATGTTAGTTTGTAATCAGCAGTGACTGTTTAAAAAAAATTGGTATTTAAATTATTCTTAACGTTTTACTGATGCTGTGCACGGTAACGTCATGATGATTTAATTTGAGGAAATGTCACTAGTGAGGTGTAATAATATTTATTTGTCTCACTGACATGCCATCACTGCATATTGAAATACAGTAATACGAATTGACCGAAAAATATTATCACAAACATTTTATGAAGTAGACTGCTTGACTACTCTTCAGTTCTCTGCTCAACTTTGACACATTTGATTGTGTTGCTGCGCCTTTCGGCAGATTTTGCCAAAAGTGAATGCTTAGTGATTACTTTGTTTTATGCGAACCAAATGTCAGTAACTTATCATTAGCATTATTTTCAAAAATCACCCACGGCTTTCATGTTCTCTAACGTAATCTTGTCTGTAAGTTAGAAGTAGATTTTCACATGTTAAAAGCCTAAAAGTACTTGATTAACATTAGTCACGTTAAATTAGATTATTTTATTTATTTATTTTAAATATGTAGCCTCTTAAGGTCAGAATGAACTGTGTTCACCCCTCTTAAATTCGTGGAAGTGCTAGTGTGGTCATGGAATCAGATATTCAAGCTATACAGAGTCAGACATTAAGTTAAGATAAGACTTTATTTTTTACATACCTGTGTGGACACTTGACTAGTGTTGACTTGACTGATCTTTTCCCCATTAAGGTTAGTGTAATTGTAAATAGACAACAATCTGTATTTTGCCGACAAAAACGATAAAAACGTGTTTTATATATAAAACAGCAGTGCGGTGTTTGGTTTCTGAATGAATGAAATAATTTGAGGTATGATAAGTTTTTACTCCAGTGATTGATTTTGCCTGTCATTTTTGCAGGATCATCAGAAGTGCTCCTGTCCTTTTTCACTGTCCCTTTTCCACAACATAATTTGGCCTTCATCATTTCGTGTCTTGTAGCAGTATTTTCACCTGTTTTTAAAATTGTAATACTTTTTGATACATTAATTGTTGACTAATTTTAATGATCAATTGTTCATTAATTGTCATTAGTGTTCTGTTGCTTTGATATATTGAATAATTGCTACTGTTTCAGTGGGGTTTACACAATAAACTTTTATTGTGAAGTTAAAGTTTCTGTTTCTGTATTTTTCTTGTATTTCTTGAACAGTTTAAATAACATTTGTGCAATTTTTGAACCTTTTTTTGCTCATTATAAAGTAGCACTATTAAATACAATAAAATAACATTTAATAACTGTAAAATACTATACAGTAATAATGAAAGTAACGTTAAAATACCATAGTTCTGCATGGTAAAAATGTACAGTAAAATACTGTTTTCAGTTTTGCAGTATGTGTATCAATACTGTAATTGGTGTTACAGTAAAAAAATAAAACAGTAAAATGATGTATTACATTTTACAGTAAATGTAATACTAAAGTAATTAGTATTACAGTAATGTTACTGTTTTATGAAATACAGCAGCTACTGGATAATTGTTGCCAGTAACTTACTGTTAATTTAACAAGAAATCGTTTACAGTGTACGATTTTGGATTTGCCTACACATACCTGTTTACACCTGATTTGACCATTGCTTGCCTGACGCTGAATAAACCTGCATATTGGATCTTACCTCCAGTTGTCTCTGTCACTCCCTCCCCGGTTGTAACAGTGTGTGTGTGTGTGTGTGTGCATGTGTGTGTGTGTGTGTGTGTGTGAAGCTGCGTCTTAAGGTGACGGAGTGCATAGGGCCCTGGTAATTTAGGGGCCCAGCGGCAGGTTACACTTTTTTTATTTTCCTGTTTCATCTTCTTATCCTTCTCCTTTTACTTCTCCTCCTCATCGTCATCCTGCTGCTGATTATTATTATCTTTTTCAGTTTATTTACAACACCAAGAGTTCATTTTAATCAGATATTTGAACAGATGAACAAAACAGACGGGGACAAAAGAATTTGAATGCATCTTTTATTGTTTTTCTCCACCTCCTCCATCATCCTCTCATTCTCCTCCTCTTATTTCTCTTTCTCATCATTCTCCTGCTCACCCTGCTGCTGATTTTCCTCTTTCTGTTTCTCTTCTTCACCTCCTCCTCATCCTTTATCTCCACTTTCAAGTCCATCATCTCAATGTCCTCCTCATTCTCCTCACTTTCCTTCTCTTCTTTTATCCTGCTCATCTCCTTCTCCTCTTTCCTCCTGCTCCTTCTCTCCTTTTTCTCCTCTTTCATCCTTCTCTTTCTCTTTTTCCTTCCATCCTCCTCCTCCTCAATCTTGTCCACCTCCTTCTCCATCATTGTCTCATGTATTTCTTCCTCTTTTATCTTTCTCTCTTTCCCTCCGTCCTCCTCTTTAATCTTTTCCTCCTCTTTCTCCATCACTGGCTCCTCCACCTTTTCCACTTTCTTCCTTCTCCTTCTCTTTTTCTTGTCTTTCACCTCCTCCTCCATAATCCTGTCCTCCTTTTCCTCCTTTTGATCTCCGCAGGATAAGTTAGTGTGTGTCAGTGTGATTTCTCCTTTACTGACGTCCATGTCGTCCTCCACAGAGCGTATTTCATGAATGATGACAGAATTCACATCCAGACAGACCTCAAACGTGGAGCAGCACAGAGAGTCATCTGTTACAGGAGAAATGAAGTGGATACACATTTTACACTCTCATTTTCAAGATGTCTGTGTGAAGAATACAATGTGTTAATAGCATTATAGACTGATGTGTTTATTTACCATCAGTGCCTTTGTCTGGAGAGTTTGGGAGCTCTTTCTGCTCTTCCTCCTCTTCATCCTCCATCTCCTCTTTGTTGGACGTGAGGCAAGAGATCTTCATGTGTTTTCTGCACGCTCTGAAGAACGACGCCAGCCGGCTCTTTTTCTTCCTTTTATCTTTCAGCTCATCTGTAAAAAGAAACAATTGTAGTACACACTTTTCCACAGTCATTTGAGAGGAAATACAAAGAAAAACAATATTTAAAGATGTACCTTGGATTTACAACATTTATTTTTAAGTTAAGTGCTTGTAAACAATTTATTTGGGCTGAATTTAAACAAACAAATTAGGTTGAATATTACTAAATTTGATTTGTTTGCTTAAATTTAACATATAAATTGTTTGCAACAACTTATATGAAGCTCTCAAATTTAATCTAAGATATATTCATCTGTGTCCAGAAGATAAAGGGAGGTCTCATGGTGTTGGAACTACAAGAGGTTGAGCAATTAATAACAGAATTGTAATATTTTGGGTGAATTAATCCTCAAACTGTATAGAATGTGGTTTAAATAATCTCATATCAGGGAAACCCCTTTACAATGTAGGCCTAAATACCACTCACCATTGGAGCTGTCAGGTGTTTGACTGGACTGCACATTTTTCGGGTGAGCTCTGAGGAAAGAGGGCAGTTTGAAGAAGCTCTTTTTCCTCGGCTTCACCACTGGTTCCTCCATTCTCGATTGGTCGTCCTCCAGTTGGAAACACATTGTTGACGGTGTGTCACTGGGATATTTCTGGTCCGCAGTCATAGCGATGGCAATCTCGGTCTTACACCGTGGATTGTCAAAAAACTTCGGGGTATGTAGCTCGGACATCAGCAAATCACCAATAGCCTCGCTAGTTTGAAAAGCCATGAATAGCTTAAGTTTTTCACAAGGAAAGATGTTTAGTCGATGTCAGCAACTGCTACAACCTCCAAGCCACTATTGCAAACTGAGTTTTCAGAGTGCTGCACGGCTCTACGTACAGCTCAGAACGCGTTCTAAATGATGATTCTAAACGGTAACTATGGCAACGGGACACTTCTCTGAGATGTTTTCTTTCTATGAGAAATGACTGAGGATGAATTAAAAGTACATTAATACACATCTCAGCTGGATAACCTCCTTTATAAGCAAGCAAAGCTGTTTTATTTGTGAGTTTTAAATAATAATAGTAATTGATATATTTGATGGCAGAGGACTCAAAAAAAAAGTTTTGTAAAACTCAAACAACAAAACTCCCTTCATAAATACATTTTAAATAACGTATTACAAAAATACAGAACTGCAATACTTTTGTAGGCTACTACACTTTCAGAAAAAAAGGCAGGATAGGGACATTTGTACCTAAAAGGTCCCTATTAATACATCAAGGGTACATATTAGTACCTGAAAAACACAAAAGTCTACCTCTTAAAATGTTTAGGTACAAATAAAAGCTTTTGAGGTGTCATTATGGACCCTTTATAGTGCAAATTCGAAAAGATCCACCCCAGTGGCAGCTCTTGTACCTTTATTTCTGCATACTGCACAATCAGGGGCGGACTTAACCAATAAGCAAGGTAAGCAACCGCTTAGGGCCCCGGGAAATAGGGAGCCTCGGCCAATGCCAAGAAGCCTATATTAATAATCCTAAAGCTAGTTAATAATGTTCCTATTATATTAATAGAAACATTAACTATTAACGTTATTACTTCTTTTCTAAACCGGGGCCAATATGAAAAGTGAAACGTTCCTTCCTTACTGGACATGCAAATATTAAAATCTAATCACAAATCACGGCTAATGAACTGTACATAATTTGTGAGCTTGTTTTTTTTTATTTGTGAATTTAAGCAGTTGCTCGTGTGACTCTGTGGGAGATCTTATGCCTGATTAAATCTAAAGACAGCATTGGAATATAATTATTTAAACATTTAAAAAATAATTAAAGATAATCAAATTTAATAAAACTATCAAAACTTAAAAGGTTATGTTTACATATAACTTCACAATGATACCATTGCATTTAAGGTCATAATTTAAATTGCTTGTTTATATATTGAGTCAATAGGTTTCAATGTAGTTAAAGAGGCTTGTGACCATGAGGCAATGCAATATGTCAAGTGAGAGAATATCATTGTGTGCATGTATAATTTTGCAGTTTGATATTTAAAAAATCTTCTGATAAAACAAAAACAGTTTTGACTGTTGGCTTGACCTTCTTACACATATTTTAAACATGAATATGACATTTTAAATCAATGTCTAAAGTTATGCCAAGAAACTTAAATTCATTCACTTCTTCAATAACTTAATTTTTAATCAGCACCACAAATTTATATAACATAGAATCTGTTTTCTTGACATTTAACGTTAAATGAGGCAGCTCAAGCCATTTTGAAATATGGTGTAAAGCCTGAGTCAGTTGCTCACCTGCCCAGCAAGGTGTTTTAGCAGACATATAGATGTCTAGGTCATCTGAATAAAACTGGCAGTTAACCCCTGGGCCGCAATCTGAAAGATCATTTATGTACACTGTAAACAACAATGGGCCAAGAACAGACCCTTGAGGTACTGCCATATTGTTAGAACCCACAGATGACTTCACCCCACTGACCCTTACATATTGCTGTCTCCCAGTCCCACCCCAAAAAATACTAAACCACTGTAAGGCCTCTGCTGACTATTTAGCAGACGCATTCATTCAGAATAAGAAATTAAACAAAAAATATGAGTCAAATATACAAAGGTGCCATATTATTAATTAATTTATTTATTTATTAAAATAAAACTAAGAACAAACCAATAGACAGATTTAAAATTGGATGGGCTAGAGTAAGAGAGTCAAGAATTTATAAAAACGTCTGCCTCATTTCTGCCTCTGGGATGGCTACACCTGCAGTTAAGTGACACATATACGTCACATATATGTCAAGAGTGCAGACATTTTTTTTTGGCAAATGTCAGTGCATTGTATTTGATGTGAGTGGCTACTGGCAGCTAGTAAGTATTGATGAACATATGTGTGACATGCACTCTTCTTTGCTTATTAAAGACCACTCTCGCTATACATTTGCAGAGGTTTGAGAGTGTTGGTTAGGTAATTGCTTTTGTAGGAACATCAGGTTGGAATGAAAGCTATAGTTAAGTGTCATCAGCAAACCAGCGATAGGAAAAAGCATGTTTCCGAATGACAGATTCAACTGATGTCATGTAGATGGGGATGTGAAGCGGTGCAAGAAATGAGCCTTGAGCCATCCCAGTAGCTAGATGTTATTACTTGAAATCGTCACCCTTCCAAGACATCCTGAATGACCTACCTGAGTGGTAAGCTTTGAACCAATGTAATGCGGTTCCTGAGATGAGAATTTGGTGGTTGACCATGTCAATAGCTGTGGGTAAATCCAGCAAGATGATTACTGAGGATTTTGCAGTCACAGTTGAATCTCCTCTTTTGGAGCCAGACTGGTTGCTGTCCTGCAGGTTGTTCTACATAAGAAACACTGAGATTTGATGGAAGTTCAAATCAGTTTTATTGTGAAATGCTATTGGCTCACATTGTTTGTGACATACTGTATAATGCAAATTTTGGATTAGCTATAATGTCAGATTCATATTTTAAATTAAATTGTATTGATGAAGCTGGAACATTTACGACAATTAAAAACCTTAAGTTTCATTTTTTTCCAAATATAAGGTTATTGTGTGGCTTTAGAAGTGTCGAATTGGAAGTTATTTGTGATGCTTCTAGCAATGTTTGTAATTAGTTATTAATGTACATTACGTAACAACAGTCTTGTCGTCTATCCAAGTTTTAGAAACAACAACTAATAACTTGTCATCTAGTTGTCCATTTGGTATCAGAAGTGGGTTATATTAAAGGTAAATGTCTCTAGATTATGCTTATTTTACCAAAATTAAATATGATTATGCCTTGATTTTTAATTATCAATTTAGGACAGTAAGGTCTGACTTTGCTTAGATAAAAGTCTTGTCACCTAACAGAAATAATGTACAGTATAGAATATAAAGTCATGGTGCAGTGGAAAAAGAATTAATATTGTGTATGACTCCCATGAGCTTGGAGGACTGTATCCATACATCTCTGCAATGACTTAAATAACTTATTAATAAAGTCATCTGGAATGGAAAAGAAAGCATTATTGCAGGACTACCAGAGTTCATCAAGATTCTTTAGATTTAAATTTAATGTCTCTTTCTTCATCTTACCCCAGAAATGATCAATAATGTTCATTTCTGGTGACTGGGCAGGCCAATCCTGGAGCACCTTGGTCTTCTTTGCTTTCAGGAACTTTGATGTGAAGGCTTAATAATTTGCCCTCTCCTGTGGTTTGTAATGTAATGGGCAGCACAAATTTCTTGATACCTCAGGCTGTTGATGTTGGCAGATCTCTCACACGCCCACATACTGAATGTAACCCCAAACCATGATTTTTCTCTCACCAAACTTGACTAATTTATGTGGGAATATTTGGTCCATCTGTGGGTTCCAATGGGTCTTCTGCAGTATTTGTGATGATTAGGTTGCAGTTCAGCAAAAGATTCATGAGAAAAAAAACTACTTTCTGCCACTTTTCCAAATTATTAACTAGAAATCAAGTTATTATTTGTTGCTTTATAACTGGGATCGACGACAATACTTTTGTCAAGTAGTGTATTTAATTTAAATAAAAAGTCAACCCATAATATAAAACTGATGCAAATAATTAAATCTGTTTGGATCTGAAGCATAAGGCAAACAACTGAAAGTACTGGAGAACACCTGAAACCAGTGCGTATTAGAACATGATGTCAAGAAGGCTTGACAGAGTGTCTGAAGATAAACAGACTTTTCTGTTTTCTCTTTTCTCTGAGTAGAAAAAAAATCACCCTTTAATCTCCAGCTACATATGAATTATGACTTAAATTGTGGTGTTTGACACTAAAGAGAACAATGACACAAGAAAAATGTGATTTAGCATATTAGGTTATATGGAGTACTTGAGCATTTTACATCCCAGGCTCATTCTGATTATATTCTGATTTCCATACAGTATATACATATTTGGAAAGGGCCAATGACGACCCAAGAGTGTTTTTTTTTTTTCTTTCTTAAATCTGCTAGAGGCCACTGTGTACGCTTTTTCAGATCTCACATTTCTTTTGCGAGTGACTGACTTACTGACTGACACACCAACCGACCAAGCAAACCCGCATTTCCAAGAATAATTGTTAAGTAAATTCCTCATAGTTTTTCCTTTGGCAAGTCAAATAAAAAGCAAGTAGGTTTGGAACAAAAGGATTAAATGATTAGATCGTTAAAAATAGTATTTAGACTAGTCCCTTAAATCATAAGAATATCAGACAGCATCCTACAAATATTTCTGAGTAGACATGTTCTTGCCATCACAGCTTTATTAGTAGTAAATTTGCATCTTAAAGCTGTCTCCATTTATTTTCTCCTCACCCTCTACCTACATGCTAACTGCATTTCCCCTCAGCTGTGTGTCAGCATTGACTGGAAGAGATGAACCACTAAAGTGCTGTCTCAGCTAGAGCTCTGGCCAGTCTTTCTCTGCATTTCTCACTCTCTCTTGGTGAAAGCAACAGTCTTTTGCATAAATATTTTAAACCGAATAAAGTTTTACAGACACAAAGTTTTCTCCCACGCCGTCTCTCCTGTCATTTAGTTCAATTTTTTTGACAGGATAAATGATACCTGTTCAGGCTCAACAAGGAAATAACACATTTATGGACAAATGAGAGAAGCTGAACTTCTGCTGTGTATTGTTCTGTCTGTGAACATGAACGAGCTTGGCAGAGGGTATTGGAGAGATCAGGTGCTGGATTTCCGTGCTGTTTGATGAGCTTTTCATGCTTAATTAGACTCA